TTACTTTGCACGGATGTCATGAGATAAAGGAGGCAGTGGACGGGAGAGATTCAACCGGAGTTGCCACAGTACCGGTAGATTGCAGGAAGCACTACATGTAAGAAAAAAGTTTGATCCTTTCTCTAATTGACTTGAATTATCCAATATGATTAGCTGGTGACATGAGGGAGAGGGGGATATACCCCTTTGGCTACTGCACACAATGTGCTACTCGTATTCCACTTTTAGGCGATAAGCAGCTTCAGAATTCAGATCCCTTTGATTTACATTTCAAATCATCTTGCTACAACTTGGTAGTAAACAACCATTTTTGGTGATCTTATACAGATTTGTTTGGTTCTTCTGTTCATATATGTCTTTTCAATTTTCCTATATGCTAACAGAAGAAAAAAGTAGATAGTTTGAACACATTTTTATTCACCTAGATGTTCTATACACGAAGAAAGGGCAGAATAAACACCATTTGTTGGTAGTCTTTCTATTTGTCCTTAGTTATTTTTATTCTACACTAATATAGCAAGGTGAAGCCTAATCTTTAATCTGGGTCACTGATAGAAGTACGGGTGTATACACATCGAAGGTACACAATGATTTTTTTGTAGTTCTTTTTTCTTATGGGAACCTTTCATACTTCTTTGTTGTGATATACGCCCATCTCGAATTTCATTTTAGGTCTACTTATTTTAGCTCAGCTAGGTGTTGACAGTAAGAAACACTTGCAAATATATGTCTCTTGTGTATATAAATATATGCTCGCTCTACAATATAATGTAGATAATGATCACAGTAATTTAATCTGCTATTTAGTGTACAATATTTGTATTCATAAAAAGAGATAGTTATACACTTCATTGCGGTTTTATATCCGAGTTAAGAAAAAAAATGGTCTTCCTCTATAGAGGTATGTTGCCTTGTCGAGGCTGCTCTACTTTTGCTATATGTGTTGCTCTTTTGTGTTGTACTACTATTCCATATAGAGAGAGATCAGAGAAGAGAACAACAGCCTGTTACTACTGATTTTTCATGCTGCTACTCGCTTACTGTTACACATCTACATACAGAAGACTGCTGCTTGCTGATTACAATCCATTCATGATAGGTAGATATGTATGCTTCTGCTTGGTACATGTGAACAGGGAGACAAGGAACGGAAGTTGCAGCGGTAGTCGGCTGGTGGCCACACATTGGCAACCACTGCTTAGATACGTGACTCCAGCCACCCATGGTGAGCAGATTTTGATCTTGATATGTTAGTCCAAGTGGATAAAGATTATTAGGTGTTTAATGTGATGTGACTTCATTGGTTGGACGTCGATTAGGATATATGTAGTACATAGCCACCTATGAGTTTTTCGAGTTGCCATATGATGGAAATCAGTAGCTTGATTTGTTGTTCAACAACGTTAATGATATGCGTGTGTGCGCGCTTTTGCTCATTCTCATGAAAATGCTTGCTTTTAGGATGTAGTTCTTAGCTATCTTGATTCTCACTGCTATTTTGATGTGTTGAACAAGGACTAGCACAGTTTTGAAATTTGTGCTGGCAGACCTTTTTCACCTATGCCTGATCATTATGTCAAGTATGCCAATTATAAGGACAACATCAAGCCATTTGAGAGTAGGGGTCCAGCTTCCCTGGAGGTATTCTCCCTCAAATATTACTGCAACCTTTTATTCACATTTCCTTTTGTGTAGTTGGTGACAATAAGGAATTGTTATTCACTTGGGAAAATCAAGATTAAATCGATGATGCTATCAAAAGTAAAATGAATTTCTAAGCTAGATAGTGGCTTCTTGAGCACCAATATAGAACCTATCTAAAACCTTTTCCATGTTCGTCATAATGATCTTTTCATTTTCCTTTGTATATTAAGTTAGAGAATATTATTCTGCATTATTCTCAACCGTTACTTTCTACCTGACTGTACATTGTTCCAGTGAACACATCAAAATAGCTGGTCCGCATATTTAAATGTGCATTGGTTTGGTGTTGGGCTGATGGTGATGTACTTATGTTGCTTCCATTGTAGGTGTGATTTTTCTGTTACAAAGTGAGGTGAGTTGAGATGATTGTTGCTACTGCTACTCGTGGTTATCGGCATGTTCCTACGCCACCCCTGGCAAGGCTGCAGCCTATTTGCGGCTCGGCCATGCCCATTCTCCGTGCTTCTTGCTCGTACCAGCAGTGAAGACTCTATAAATACATGTCATTATATTATCCAAAATCCAATGGCAGAAGGTGGGATCTTGCTTCTTATGGAAACATCTCTAAGTTCTTCTACAAGTATATCATAATCAATTGTAGATTGTTGAATTATTTTGATATCTTTTTGGGGGGAATTATGGGATACTTACCTTACATTATCTAATCATTACTCATAGGCGAGTGTGGCACAAGGCTCTCTTTGCAACATTGATCTAACATTTTTGGCAGGATTACCACTTGAAGCAGTTGACATCATTACAACTCAGGAGAAGTAAAGAGTGGTCAAAAAAATAAGAAGTTGCGTACAAATATTTTCAAAAGGTAGAATCACATTGTGATTCTTAAGGGAACTGCTTAATGCTTTATCTTTATTCTTAATCACTCTATAGATCTCTTGAAAAGCTTCTATTCTTCTAATTATACAGATAAGCCAATCAGTTGATGTTTTTGTATGTCACCATGTTGCACAAAAGTGTCATGTGATGTGACCCCCCGTACAATCTGGAATATGTTCGGATGGCCATTAAGTAACTTACGTGATAATTAACTCTTTGGCCTGAAAGTGCTGTAAATGTAGCCCCAATTATATTGATTTGTTCAAGCAGCTAAACAACCCAAGGAACTTCTAAAGAATTAATATTGTTCAACTTTCAGGAAGTAGTGTCAAACAACATGTTGCTTGATGAAGGACCAAGACAGTTGAAGAGGAACATGAAGCGGTACGGAAATTCCTCTGGAGACCGAGCATCTTGTCAGTCTGTTTATATTGACCAGATTAGAAAAATCACAACGTAAAAACTTAAATCTTTTCCATAAGCCTTTAAGAAACATGTGCTACCTATGGCCTGATGCCATGATTATATATATATATATATATATATATATATTGTGCTAAAACCATTTTAGATGTAAAGTTCAAACAAGGTCGAAGTGGTTTTATGAAGAATTTTGAGGGCCGTCAAAATAAAAAGTTATCAGTAGTGCACCACACCAGTTACATTTTTAAATACACACAACTGTCAAACTTATTGTGTACCTGTTGCACCGCACGAGCCCTTTTGCTAGTTTTATATAAGTCATGTATTTTATACCGATCCTTTTTCTCATTTTGTTCTGCTGCGATAGTCTTTTCAGTTAGCCTCACACAAGCCTATAATTTCTATCTACAATCTGCGCAGTAATTCTCTGTTTTGCCGAGGTGAACCATCATCCACCCGGACATGGATTACCTTCCCATCAAGTTTGGAAGCGAGAGCTAAACAAATCATCCTTATGTCGCATATATCGTCTCGAAGAGTGTGTAGCCCACTAGCAGAAATTCCATAGGAAAGTTTCTTCATTATGATGCTTTTTTATCACTAGTAATTATGTACATGCAATGCATGTATTAGGTAGGATATTAGTGGCATGTTATATTAGGTAAGGTATATTTGTGGCACATTGATATTTGGTAAGATATTAATTGCTTTCTTCGTGGGAATGGTAAGATATTAATTACATGGCAGATTTCATGGGATAGCGTTGAGTCTAAACATGTTTATAACCAATGGCAGTGGTGGGTAATTAGAGCGTTAAATATGTTTGGTGCTCAACATTGGAGCGATTTGAACCGCTAGATTACATGATTTGACGGTTGAGATGGTTTGGATCTGCTTCTTTGGGTCCTTTTATATTGATATAAATGTATTATATAATTCAACTGCCTTGCTTGACTTTTCAACCAGCTACCATATATGTAAATGCATTATCTAACCAGTTCTATTGTTGCATGTTACTCCCCAACATTTTATCTGCTATCACCTCTAATGAATTTTAGCTAGATTTATGTATCTATGCTTATGTCCCCGGGTTCATTTCCACGTGCACACCAATGAGCAAAAAAGCCAGCGCAAAGTGCATTGTCTACATGGTACAATAGAAGTACATACTAATTCTTACACAAGATTGCACCGCAGAGAAGGGCTCTCAGGAGGCCCGCAATCACGGGCCCCAACCACTAGTAAAAAGATGCAAGGTGGCTTAGTTATCTGAACTTAGAACTATGCTTATGCATATGTTATGTTAGAATACTAGTGAGAAATCTGTTAGACACATACTAGTGAGGAATCTAGACTCCCAGAGAAGTGAGAACGCCTTAGAGCTACAGATTTCACCGCTCTCATTTATTCTCTCACTTTTTAATTTTCCTTCTATACCTTATTTGTGGTCGCTAATCACTCACAATATTTTAAACTTCGGTTTCCACTTTGCTTTGGACCGTGACTAACTTGCAAGCACAACCCCATAAACCTCAGTAAGAGGCAAAAATCATTTCATGTGCTCTACATGGGCTACAACGCGTGGCTCCGATGCCTGATGATCCATATATATACCCCAAAACTCCACCCCAACTACCGAGTACTTTTTTGCCGCAACCACCGATGCATTCAGCAGAGCGAAGGAGAGTTCCTTTTTTCTTGGCGGCATCCTTCCGCATTGGTGGCGAGTGGAGTGTCATCACATTTCTGAGGCGATCTTTATGTTTCACCCTGATCCAGAACTCTGCCGGAGGGGGAAGCCATCTTCATAATCATCAATCTCGATCCTCGTGCTCTAAGATGAGTTGTGATTAGTCCACCCCTGGACTACGGGTTCATGACAGTAGTTCTAGTGTCCTCCAAAACGCGCGCTCAAACAACTTCGAGGGTACATTTTTTCTTAGATGGAAGAAACTGACTCTTTTTTTTAGGTGAAGGAAGAAACTGACTCGTTCGCCGCAGTTTCGAGCATTAGGCCCACAAATGCCAATTATCTCATGGTCTGGCCCTTGCAGGCGGCCCATGAAACCGACAGCCCAGATACGAGGCTAGGAGCGTGCACAGACCGACCTGGCGAACCCAGGGTTTGCCCACCTTCTAGAGGATTCGATACGACCACCAGGCGCCGTATATACACCACCACCCGACCTCCTCTCGTCCGTCTCCTCCTCGCCAAGGAAAAAGAGCTGCTGCCAAGACACCACCCTCAGCTGCGGCGGCTACCAGAAGCAAAGCTCCAGAAGCTTCTCTGGCCTCGGCAACGGCCTCCACGCCGCGGGTACGATCCAGCCCCATGCCTCCCGCTTGGTTCGACCATGGCGGATGCGTCGATATCGATCTCCCCGTGCTCGGATCCGCTTTGGCTTTTCACCATTAGATCATGTTTCTAGATTAGGCGTTTAATTCCCTTGTTACTTTGTTGAGGATTACGCTGCGGTCTGTAGAGTTTTGCTACTGCTTTAGGGCCGCAGGGATTGGTTTGCCAAGGTTTTGGATCTGGGGGTTTGTGGTGGATTTGGGTTAAATTCGACCACTTTTTGGGCTCTGGGCTATGGATTCGGGAGGTTCTGCGGTATATACGTTGATATCTATGCATTTCCACTGCTTTTCAGGGTTCGTTAACTCCTGGATCTCGTTCTGTGCAGGTGTAGTTCGCGATCTAGATCTCAGAACCAGTAGTGACCGGGAAGATAAAAAGGACAGGTCGGAGATGAGTGTGGTGGGGTTTGATCTTGGCAATGAGAGCTGCATTGTGGGGGTGGCGCGGCAGCGCGGAATCGACGTGGTCCTCAATGAAGAGTCCAAGCGGGAGACCCCAGCTATTGTCTGCTTTGGCGACAAGCAGCGTTTCATCGGCACTGCAGGTGCCGCCAACTCCACCATGAACCCCAAGAACTCCATCTCCCAGATCAAGCGCTTACTGGGACGCAAGTTTGCTGATCCTGAGCTGCAGAATGATATTAAGGCCTTCCCATTCGGTGTCTCGGAGGGCCCTGATGGGTTCCCGCTTGTTCACGTACGGTATCTGGGGGAGGAGCGCTCGTTCACCCCCACACAGCTGCTTGCCATGGTGCTGTCCAATTTGAAGGCCATCGCTGAGGGTAACCTCAACTCGGCTGTTATTGACTGCTGCATTGGTATCCCAGTCTATTTTACTGACCTGCAGCGGAGGGCTGTTATTGATGCTGCAACAATTGCTGGTCTCCGGCCATTGCGTTTGTTCCATGAGACTACTGCGACAGCATTGGCATATGGGATCTACAAGACTGATCTACCTGAGAATGATCAGCTGAATGTGGCATTTGTTGATGTTGGGAATGCCAGTATGCAGGTCAGCATTGTTGGGTACAAGAAGGGGCAGCTCAAGATGCTATCACATGCATATGACCGTTCTCTTGGCGGAAGGGACTTTGATGAAGCCCTTTTTAAGCACTTTGCAGCAAAATTTAAAGAGGAGTATAAGATCGATGTCTACCAGAATGCCCGTGCCTGCATTAGGTTGCGTGTGGCATGTGAGAAGCTCAAGAAGATGCTGAGCGCCAATCCAGAGGCACCAATGAACATTGAGTGCTTGATGGACGAGAAGGATGTACGAGGATTCATTAAGAGGGATGAGTTTGAACAGATCAGCGCACCAGTGCTAGAACGTGTGAAGGGGCCGCTGGAAAAGGCATTGTCAGAAGCTGGCTTGACGACAGAAAGTCTGCACTTTGTTGAGGTTGTTGGATCAGGCTCTCGCGTTCCTGCAGTAATGAAGATAATTACTGAATTCTTTGGAAAAGAACCAAGGAGAACTATGAATGCAAGTGAATGTGTTGCCCGGGGATGTGCTCTCCAGTGTGCTATTCTTAGCCCGACGTTCAAAGTGCGGGAGTTTCAGGTATTCACTTGCTTGCATATGTTTGCTGTTTTCCTTCCATGGTCTCAGTTTTCTCCACAATGGTTCATCTTAAATGTGTTGAAATTTTGCTAAATAGATGTCATCATAAGTATAGAACAGCTGTTGGACATGAGCTTTCTGTAATACTATAAGGTAGTTTGACCTGTTGATGCCTATAATTGTTACCGACTTTAAGTAGGCGTTAATAATGTAGGAAAGATGATTTTTTTAGAAAAACTAAACACTAACTTTCCTGATAATGATGGAATGTGTGTGAGATCTAGTTGCGTGTTGGAATAAACATGCAACTAGGCCTCTCCACCATTTTTTTTAGAAAATATGTGTTTATTCCAACTAGGCCTTTCCTGATAACTTCCATCATTTTTTTTAGAAAAAGTAAACACTAACATTGGGGCTGCCGGTGTACTTGATAATTATGTTGGTGGAGAGGCCTAGTGTTCATTCAAATTGTAACTTTAAGCCAACTACTGCTTTAAGCTCTTACAATTGCACAACAACTTTGTGTGCCCTCTTGCTATGCAATTTGAACTAATTTTTGCTGAGCTCATAATCTGTGAGAACGGTGACGCACTCTGTTTTCCAATTGCATGTGGCCCTGTTTCCCCTTTCCTTTTCTAGGCCATGCAGGCATGCAGCACTTCCCTTCACCTGCTGCACTTGCCTAGTGTGTTTCTGTTTGTCTTTTTCTTTTAATTTGATTTGCACCATGTATGTTTCCAACAATCAAAGGAAACTGAAAGAATTGACTGCATGCTGCAACGTAGTAGGATAGGTGGGAAAAGCAAAAGTTCCTAGGGGACCACCCAGTCCACAGTTGACTCATGCCTGCTACGGTTGCCTTGTCGGAATGTAGCATCAGTTACGGGATCCCCATAATCTGTTTGATCTTATGGATCTGCTTTTCATAAGAGCTCATTATGTTCTCAAGAAAAATACCAACTCAAATTTGCTGAGATTTTACATCACTGGTGCTTTCAGTTGATTTTGATTATCAAGTGTCATATATGCTGCATTTATATCTCTGATTTTAATTTCTTGTATAAGTTGCAATTTATGTTGATGTTAGATTCATTTCTGAG